CTGGCTTTGCACCCTCCGCTATTAAATAAAAAAACATAGGCCATCTGCCCCCTACCCTTATTTTATTATTTAAAGCCGTGGCAGCGGTTTAGCAGCAAATTGCGTGTTAACTAATTCCTTGGTAGTAATGCCCCTCTTTTACCACCGAAAAACTGTCACGAGAATGAAACAAATACCAAAGAGACCTTTGCCACTGTCTTCTTTCTGTTTCATTTTCCGTCCGAGGACAAAAGTGGAGAGCGGTGCAACATTTTATAAAAATTAGGCGAGAAAAAATTTTTTGAGAAATAATGCACAGATTTAACTAACTCTGTTTTACACATATCTAATTACTTTTTTTGTATTACATCTCTTTATTAGTATAAAACTTCAATGACCATTGTAACGGATGAAATAAAATAAAATAAATATCGTGTATATTTTAAAATTAAACAATAGCTTTTGAAATTGTCCTCCACATTTATTAATATTTATGAATATCTTTTTAATTACAGCGTACCTTTATTCACCTGAATTAAACCTTTCAGAGCGTATTATTATTTTTTTCATTAAATAACTTGATAAATCGAGCCCTGGAATCCCTAATATTTAATAAAAAAAAAAAATTAAAAAGGTATAAATTGATCGATGATAATTAATTTAGATTATATACGCCGACACAACGTAATAATGAAACAATTCTACATTTTATTTGTTCCTGCACACAATCCACTTTTGTTCGCATTATGTATCATTTTTACTTATACAAAATACTTAGATAAAAGTTTAATGGCTCATTCTCCATTACAAATTAACGAAAAAGAAATATGTTTTCAAATAATTATACTTTTTTAATTTAGAAAATAAATAATACAGTGATGAAAATGTGTAAAACAATAAAAGCATGTATATCACAAATATAAAATTCAGTTGCAATTTTTAGATAAAATTAGTAGTATTTATTTGAATACATTGTTAAAATTATAGATCAGTAAATGTAGACACATCATACAAGTAACAAATTACCTTAAAGTGGTTCTAAAATAACTATTGAAATATTAGTAAGAAAAATATAATTAACTCCTGTCAAAAACTTACTTGCAAAAAACTGCCAATTATGCAATTTTAAATAAACAATAATAAATCGCGATGTTATCACAGAGGCTTCTTCGGATAACACTCAATCATTCCTCACTGCAGACAAATAATTTACGCGAAAGCCGGAATCCGTAAGTGGATTATTTCGCGTGTTATGGCCTTATAAACAAGTTAACTAATTAATAATCTGTACAAATCTGAGCGGTATCCGAAGTCGCGCCAATTTTTTTATTGGTAGATTTAACAAAATAGCTATCGAGGTCTATCCGTACATATTATTCTACATTATCTAACTTCAATTTAATTTAACTCAAATATAATCCTAATCTAATCAACTATTAACTTTAATTTGAAAATATTCTACTAAATATCATTTTCTTGATCAACTGGGGGCTCACAGTCGTGCATGCGTCATATTATAAGATGATTTCATGAAGAGCGCCCCGAATTACCCCCTGATGCGATTTTCGGCCCGTTTACGCGAATTTTACAGGAAATCTCCCGGAGATGACGTCCATGTACAGGTTCCGGTGCACCAGGCATCCGGGGGGTGCTCGCAGATGCCAGATTAGGAATCAGCGACCCGAAATACCCCGGGTGTCAAGTCTAGTTGCATTTAAGAGTGAAATTCAGGAGAAACCTCGGAGATGACGTTCATCATCAACCCAAACCCCAAGGCCGCCAAGGCCCAAATTGAAAGGCAAAATTGGGAACAACCAACGCCAAAAACCCCAAGAACTAGAATTGAAGCCAATCCAAGCAATAATAAACCAAGTGGGAAATTTTTCCAAAGGAACTTAAAAACGGCAATTTTCCGGAAGCAATTTGCCCAAAAAAAAAAAAAAAGTGAAAAAATTTTTTCACATAATTTTAGAAAGCGAATACAAAAAACCACATCTTGATACGACTTGATCGAAAAATTTCGGGAGTTCAGTGCCTTATTTCCTCGACAAGTAGAAGGTTTAATGTAACCTACTCAAACTTACAACCTATGCATAACAAAAAGTTTAGAAAGATTTTTACAAAGATAAAAAAATTAAATTTAATACAATTCTAAATATCTAAAACAACTGTTAAAAATGTTGACCGTTGACTTTTAAACTTTTGAAGAGGGTACGAACTCCATGAGTTGTACTACTTATTTACCCAGGATTAAGTTCTGAAAGACTTCAATCACTCGCCTCTTCAATTCCTCCCTGTTGTTCCGTACACGATGAATAAAAATCGCAGGGAGTCAAGTCAGGGAATCTAGAAGGCCAATCCCATGGACCAAAACGTCCGAAGCACCTGTCTTCAAAAAGCCTAGTCAACTCTACACCAACTTCTGGAGTTGAATACGCCGGCACAGCATCGAGTAAATTTTGATTGGTTTGTTTTGAAGTTGCGTTAAAATTTTCACACCACCCTCGCAGTTAAGTACGAATACGTAATAATAATATTAGTCTATTTCAGTAGAGCACCGAAATAACTTTAAATAACATAAAAATTAGAAGATATAAGTACAGGAAACCATAGTTTGGATATAAATAGAATAAAATGGCACATTCAAATTTGAAAAAATATTCCGGGTGTTCCATTACAAAAAATCAAGTTTAGATAGTTTCCAGTGGACCAAACTCGGTATTAAATTATTACCACTCTGTACATATTTCGGTAACTCTGAGGATATGGTTATGCAGCTTAGATATTTAAGTCCTGCTCTGCAAAATGTTGTTGATTTATCTGTTTAAATGTAGAATGCGCATGGCTTTAAAGTAGGTTCTAATTTTTATTTTTTTTTTCCTAAAAACCTAAATATCTCGAAAACGGATAATTTTAGGAATAGGGAGACCTAATGAATGTAACCTTAAAATGAAGCGTATAATCCAAAAATGTAAAAATATACAGAGTGTTCCATTTAAAATAACAAAGTTGCCGTCAACTTACGGTATAACCGGAAGTGTCACAGGAACAAAATAATTAGATTTGAAAAGAGCACACCCAATTTTCAAAATTTAAATCGAAGTACGTTCTGAGTATATGCTGTACTTACCGTATGACCAAATTTAAAAAAAAAATGATGCGGTTTTAGGTGAAGAATTGATTTATACTAATTATTGCTTCAAATATCATTAATTTATTAGTCTTTTAAGGCGGTATATCGGGGTCCGAGGGAAGTGAGGAGCGCAGGGGGGGTCCCATGCTTTTCTTATGGGACTAAAATCCGCTGCCAATTTGAAAAAATTAAATTCTATTGAAATTATTTCCGATAAACATTATCTATATAGCAAAGAAATCTACTCATATGCACATAGCATACAAATTGACTAATTAACAACATAAAAATATCATATTTAAGTAGTTTTAAATTATATTTAATGAACGCATAAAGTCTATGTAGATGTGGCAACAGCGCTAATAATTGACTAGCAGTTGTACACACTGCGAACCTACAGACCTCGGACATCGGAGATATTGCGCGTCAAATTCGGGTAAAGATGCGTACGCGTTCAAAAATGTATTGTGTGTAAACTATGTAAAATATAATTATTATGTATAGCAAATATATCTTATTATCCTCGCGAAGATTTGCATCCTTTATTTAAAATCCGTAAATCATGTGAACTGGTAAAACAACGAGAATTATATTAATTTAGTTCTAAAGAAATGAAATGACACTCGCGCCCATCTCTCGTCTAAGTCAAACAAAATGTTGGATGCAATTTTGAAGGTTCTGTGATAGAAATTACATTATTACTCACTGTTCGTGTTTTTCATTTCTATTTTAGTAATGTTACAAAAGTTTTGCAACCATAATTAATTTTTTAGATATAAAGTTTGCTGAGAAATATTTATGTTCCTTTGTTATTCCGTACAAATGCTTTTATCTCAAGTATTACTAATTATATTAATCAAGTAAAGAAAACTTTATGTAACCCTAAATATTGCTGGGTAATGATTACGATGTTTTTATAAACCATTAAATATATTAAAAGGATTTATCAACTGTATTTTTTATTCCAATAAATATATCACAGCTTCATAGTCTTTTTTAAATTAATCTAGTTTTTTAAAAAAATTACAAAAAATCATCTGTTGTGGATAATTTATTGTTGATAACAATGTACATGGGATTTAGGAAAATGTATATGTTTGAAATCAATTTCGTTTTTATCAAGTCTTTCAAATGTATTCCCTCCTTGCTGTCAGCTGATTGCGACGTTGCCACATTAATCCTTAAATCGGACAGAAATGCAATTATTGGTTTTTGTTTCTAATTAATACAGCTGTACTATGTTCAAAACTTACATTAGTTTTACATCAAAAATAAGACAATACTACTATCTATGGAAAAGTTTTGTTTCACAATTTCTACAATTTTTTCTCAGTTATGGGCAAAAAAGAGCCGCACCGTCCATCTTCGCCATATAAACCTATGTTAAAATGAACAACTTTCAACAACAATATCTCAAAATCTAGATTAAAAAAAAAATTCAAAAAAATATGACGCACAGAGGGAGCACTGGGTAATACGCTATATAACTTTCAAGTACATCTGTACATTTGAGTGAATCCGATATACCTCCTTAACAGGGCAGAAAAACGGCGATATAAAAGTTCTCTGGCCTTTTTTTAAATACTTTTTTTACTCACTTTTACTCTTTCATTCCTGCTGAAAGGGCCAGATTTTCCGATCGACATTCGTCAACCGACGTGCGAAAAACAAAATACAGGAAATAATACTTCAGGGCAGAACTCTCCGACTCTCCGGCCGCCAGCTCCGGCGGTTTCATTTCATATTTTCGGCGTGGAACTGGTCCTGGCATCGCACTGGGCATCCCACGGCACCCCGTGCCATCCCGGTCGCCGAACCAGGACCGGCGCAATGGTAATTCCTGCGAGCGGGCCGCTGCCGCCGGCCTCAGTATCGTCCTGACGCGCTCCTTCGACGTTGTGACGCGGCTACTGTGTCATTCGGTCAGCGCGCTGTGCCAGCGGGAATTTCGAGTTGTTGGTGATCGTCGGTGGTGTTGCAGGGGAAGTTGTGCCGTTTTGGAGAGCGTAAGGGTCGAATCTGCGTAGATGGTGGTTGGGTTGTTGAGAAAATTAACCAGTTACATAGTATTTAAAAGATTAGCTGGACGTGATAAAGTTATGTACTGTGAGACGTTTCCATTGCTCGCGAGAGCTAAGTATACAGGGTGTTGGAATATTCTACAGATAAAATTGGTTGTAAATAAATAACAGAGGTCATACGAACGTTTCGTTTTTGAGATACAAAGTTTCGGATTTGGGTAGAACTTGCAAAAATAACATTACAAGTTTATATAATTTTTTAGTCATTTTTGAAGTTATTTCAACTAATGCAGTAAATTCACTGAGATCACGTTTGAGGGCTCAGGGGCAATGCGCCCTCGACTGTTTTAACCACCAAAAAAAATATATTTGTTTTATGTTTGTCGCCATTTTCAAGATTTTACTACTTTTTTTAAGTGAAAACATTTTTATTTGTTATCGGTACAATGTATCATTTTCAAGACAAACGCGTTTAGCGATGAAGATACCACACTATGTCCGACATATCGTAATAGTCATAAATACCTCAGAACAGCAATTGGTTCTTTATGTAGCAAATATTAAACGCGTAATACTGAATGATATTTGGCATTGCGTACTTATTTTGCTCCATAAATGATTAATTTTTGTTAAACTTTGTTACTTTGTTTACTGTTAAGATATGTTAAAAATAGTGCAGTATCTTCATCGTTAAATGTGTTTATCTCGAAAACGCTTCATTGTACCGAAAACAAACAAATTCAGCTATCAATAAATTAAATATATTAGTAGAAGTAGCTTCAAATAATATCTTAGAAAGAAAAGAAAAGAGTTACAACGAAAAATCGATTTTTAACTGTCAACATCAAGAGTTAAGAACTTGATGATGGAAAAATTAATCTTAAACAAACAATTTCATATGAACAGGGTATTTGAATTAGAAAAAGAATTTTCTGAAATATCTCTGGTGATGTCTGATGTAGACTGATGAAACTTCGACCACTGATTTATTTAAATAGGAGTAAAAATCCACTAAATTGATCTAAAGAATCAGAAAATTACCGGCGTAGAAATTTCGATAATTTCTTAGGGGCTATTTAATTAAAATGTTAAAAATTTCAATTTTTTTTTAAATTTGACACATTACGTTGCATTTAAAATTATATTTCTAACATCCCATAAATTGTTTTTGTGGACCGAAACGTTTTAGAGTTATTTTCGATTTACTTTACTATGCTTTTATATACTTTGAATTGAAAAAAAATTCTAAACTCCAAATAGTCTCGTTCTTCGAGCAAAATATAAGAGATCTATCTTTTTTTTAGAATTTCAACTGGTAATGAAAAACACTAATCGAATTTGCAGAATACTCATTGCCGTCGAAATTCTGTATATTTCCGCCACTGGTTATCATATCAGTGGTCTAAGTTTCATCAGTCTACGTGAAAATTTTAACACCACTTATATTGATGAACGAACCGAACTACTAGGGCCATATGAATTGTTTTGTTTAAAATTATTACTTTTATCACCTGTAAAAAAGGATTTCATAATAGTTATTGCTCACCATTTTTTAGGACACTGGACGGGGTGTCCGCAATTACGCACATTAAACTTTACCTGGTGATAGAAAACCTCAAATTAAGAAAAATGTTTATATAAATGTAACACTTCTTTTTCGAGACACAGTGTTGAACTAAAACAGTGTGTCCCGTTTTTCAGGTTAACACCTTTGGAAATGTGAGAAAGCTGTGGACTTTCCGCAAGACAATTTTTTTACAAATAGTACCCTGAAGGGAGGTTATATTCTACTAATCATTCTATTGATGTCATGAAAGCCTGGCTTACTACGATTTTTTAAAAGGGTTATTTTCTCAGAAAGTGGTATTAGGCATTTTTTTATCAAAAAGATAATATTACCAGGCTATTCAACACCCATCAAAATACCTATTACCAGTATACCAAATTTGAACCACAAATGTCTATTGAGTGGTTTGTTATGTGGTGCCAAACTTCGAAAAATCAGAACTAAAAAGTATAATAAGCAGGTCAAAGATGTTCATGAAAGTAAAAACAAGTGCTAATCGGAACAGAACACAGACACTATAAATTTAATACTTTAAATTGCGGTCACAATAAAAATAATAATAGTTAACGTACAAAAAATGTAGATAATGAATTGTAAATATTAAGTTGTTAAACAAAAAATTGCAAAACAATCTAAATTAAATTTTAGTTTTTTCGAACTATGGACTTTTGGATGACCTAATGAATGCGTAAGACAAGCTTGTGCAGAAATTACTCCACAACAGCTATGTCAATTATTTTTAAATTTAAGAAGAGGATTGGAAAAATATGTTCGAGTGGAAGGAGGTTTGGTGGAGAAAGCTAAAATTTAATTTAGATTAACGTTTTGCAATTTTTTTGTTTAATGTATGTTTTTGTTTTGTATTATAATTCATTATATTTTT